TTCAAAATAATAAATATTTTTTAATTTAAAATTTATTCAAAAATAATAATTGTATACAAAAATTTTCCCCTAATCATTAAAATTCATGGGTTTTGCTTGATATTGTTTGAACTTTGAAGTCTTTTTTTTTTTCTTTTTTTTTTCTTTTTTGATAAAATTAAGCTTTAAGTGATAATTGTAATGTTCTTCATTGATTAATGCGTAAGTGGTTATTGTGAAACTTCATCCATTGATGCATAAGTGGTTATTGTGAAAATTGACATGTGCACTTGCATCTAATTTAAAATTAATTGACAATAAATGAAGAATGTTTCTCATATTTAATCTACATGTTTTTTTTTATTTTCTCAATATATAATTTTCCCACCCAATATGCCCCTGTTTTTCAAGAATAGAACCTAATACCATGTGAAAATTGACATATGAGTTAAAACACAAGGTTGACATCTAAATTAAAATCAATTAGTAATAAACGAAATAACACTCTTTTTATTAAACTTATATGTTTCTTTGTCATATCTTTTGAAGCCCATCATAAACGTTGAGTTTGAATTTTAAGTTTTGTCAGGTAAGCAAACAATAGATTTTGTAGAAATAGAAACATGGCTTTGATATTATGTAAAAATTATGTAAACTACAATATACGGTTTACATCAAACTTAAAACTAATTAATAATAGATAAAATAACCTTTTTTACATTTAATTCACATATTTGTTATATTTGTGAGATTTCTAATTCATCATATATTGTAATTTTTATTCGACGAAATTGACATCCTTGAAATTTCAACAAAACTGATAGGACACCTATTACGCCTTATTCCCTTGACACTTTCAAGCAAACAAATTTCTTTGCATTGACACGGTTTGCCATCAATTATTATCCTTTGAATTTCTTTGCAAAATAGTTATTGACTTGTAATAGAAGCTTTTTTTTTTCCTCCCGAATGTTCAAATTCTTTTCCTAAAATAAAATGGAATATATTAAAAGATAATATATTAATATTTATTAGTTGAATTCATAAAAAAATTAGATAAAAAAATTTAAAACTACATTATTTTAATAAAACATCCCAAAAAAAAAAAAAAACTAAAACAATATCATTATTGCTTTAAAAGATAGGTTATTTTGATATTTTTTAATAAAAATTTATTTAAATTACATAATTTTAAAATAATTTATTATTATT